TTCCTATTCTTCCAAAGAAACCCATTTTACTATATGTAAAAATCTAATGTCCGCCTAGTCTCTTACGTTTCCTGTTGAGTTCCATAGCATTCTTTAACTGGAGCTCATACATTCTGTTTCTCCTCTGGTAGAAAACATATTCTGGGTCAACTCCTGTGTTCGCGTCATCTGCATAGAGTTGTTTATATCCCACTTCAGGGTTTGTATAAAACTCTTTCCATCTCATATTTGCATACCATGGTGGCAAACCTAACGCAGCGTCATTTGACATGGCAGTTTGCATTTGTACATCTGTTGGCACTTGACCATAGTTTGCCATTGCAGTTTGTATTCTAACTTCATTTGGAATATTCTCTGGTTTGGTTGTCCAGGTTGCTGTGCATTCGCTAAGTTCTGTGCGTCCATTTAATATTAGATAAAAATATCTCTTACGAGTACATATGCTGAACATTTGCAGGCATTGGTTCATCTTCATATTCTCTATATCTTTCTGCCACGTCAAATAAATAAATGACACAATGGAAAAAACCTAAAACAAGTAGTCCTATTTCAAACCACATTTACTTACCAATAAAATTTCTTTGTTATGACACTTTCTCCAGTTTATAGGACCTCTCTCATATTCTATCTTGTCATATCTAAACTCATAGTCATGTATGTCCTCTCACCATCTCATAACGGTTTCCAAACCACTTTTATCGGATGTAAAGTAAAAGCATGGATGGTTATGTAAAACGTCTAAAGTTTCTAAAGAGTCTCTCAAAGTCCAGTCTACTTGGTATTGAAAATCCCATGTGTTATAGAACGGCGGGTCCACTATAAAGAAAACATTTTCCTTGTCTTTATATTTTTCATACAACTCTGTCCAATGACATCTCACAAACTCTATACCCTCAATATATTTTTCTATGTTCTTTTTGAAAACCTTTGTATAGTTAGATATAAAACTTTTGACATAAGTGTTTCAATGTCATGAACTCTTATAGAACCACTATATAATAGTCTAGCAGATATACTATCCCAGTCTATATATTCTGCTTTTTTCAAAACCTCTCTCACAATATTTTTCTTATCTAATGGTATACGTTCCATCTTACCTATAGGTATCTTTTCTTTTAACTCTTTCAATATATTGTTTGTGTCTGGTATATGTTTGAGACGGTCCATATAGTTGTCGAAGTCATTGCATATAATAGTCATGTGATTTTATCCCAAGCATATGGGGATTCTAAATTTTTGTCCCTATCGTTATCCCAATTGAATTTTTTTTTGGAATTTAAATTTTTTTTCTCCATGTAAACTTAAATTTTAATTTTTACCACTAAAATGCAATATTTCAACAAATTAATGAGTAATAATATTTTAATTTATAATAAATATTATAAATCTCATCAATTTAATGTAATTATTGTATTAATTTTTGTTGAAAATATAAAATCTTCAAGTAAATGATGTGAATTTAATATTTTTAGAATGTTGTTTAATTGTACTATATTATGCATGTAAAATTTTGTTACAATACATTTTATATGGGATCCCCATTGCCCAATTGAGAGAAAATTGAGAGGTGGGATTGGGCTAGCCCAATTCAAAATATCCCAGGTGGAAATAAAAAAATTAACAATTCAACATAAAAAAGCATCTTAAATAATAATGATAAAAAGAAATTTTGTATGAATTTCAATCAAATTTGTTTTTATTCAACTTAAGAAATCACTTCATTAATGAAAGAAGTCGGGTTCACAACATATCCCGATCTTGAAACGAAACAACATGTTTACATGCGATATAAACATGAAGGTAGTCCCAAGTGGTATGTAAAATGCAATGAACTTGTGACACGATCTGATGGCGTAGTTTGCCGGTGTTCAATGCAAGAACAAAGGGAGGATCATTATAAAAACTGGCTTAAGACTCATGTTCACACATGCCAGGCCGGAGAAGCATTATCGCAGCAAACATTACTTGACTACTACAATAAAGGTAAACAGCCAAATGATCCAATGTTGGATTTATCGAATGTATACGATGAAATGACCATTTTTACCGGTAAGTTCAACCTTGCCTTAGACACATTTGCATCCCCAGAATTCACGCATGTTGCAAAGATTTTCATTATGTTCACAATATATCAAATGATGAACAAATACAAACAACTTCAGTCAGCTAATATCAATCCGGAAAAACTTGCTGACAAATTATATAAGCCTATTACACGTGATGAGATCCGAAATAGAATGATTGCTATTGCTAACAGCATACACCTTGCTAAAGTTCTCGAATTCGCCAAAAAAGCATACACTTGTGTCGCCATCGATGAAGGCAAGACACATGATTACCACAATCTTGATTTTGTCTTAACAAATCCGTTGGAGCAAATGAAGCCATACCCAGTAGAGGCGATAGATATGAAGGATGGCCAGACAAGTCAGGATTATAAATCCGCAATAACAGCAGGATTTAACAGAATTGACATTAGGAAAGTCAAGATAGGTAGTGTGGTAGTTGACGGAGGACCAGCACAGTTAAAATGCTTCAAAGATACTTGGAATGATTCATTCTATCATGACAGAGATCCAAAATACTACAAGATATTGCTTATTCCCTGTTTGTGTCACAGAATCCACAACAGCTATCAATATATTGCTGGCAAGAACAACCAGTTACAAAGTTTAGTAAAGGATGTGCACAGAATTGCAGAACTTTGTCGCATTCATGCTGACGATATAGGTGCACAATGTCCACAGCATGTATCCACCAGATGGATATATGACTATAATATATGTGTCTTTATTCTTAAGTACGAAAACAAAATCAAGCAATATATAAATGTAGATCACGATAAAATCGTACAATTGAAAGATTGTTTAGCTGTTCTTAAAAAGCTAATCTTAGTATTCGAATCGGATAAGGCATTGTTGGCAAATTGTTACATTTGGCTTCGTAAAGCCATATCAGCTCTCAATCTTTTGACATCCAATTTGCATAATGCATTCGGATCCATCTTGGCATCTTCATTGGATAGCTATACCTTGGACTCTGACTTTGGTGGGCTATGGTGTTTGGCATTCTCTCTCACGCCGAGAGGAAGGTTCTACTTCCATAGAAAGTTTGTTAAAAACGAAGAAGTAGAAGATTTGGCCGATCCCTTGAGTTCCTTTCAAAGTGAGCATATTCCTGATAAAGATCCGGCAGAAGATTTACAGGACATTTACATGGATTCTATTTTTGAGGAAGGTAACACAAACGCTGTAATTGATGTAACAGATGAAGGCACATTTCGTAGAATTGTCGAATCTGATGATCAACTTAGGCTTACATTGCAAGATGTACGCGAGGATAATCATCAGACTGCCGAAAATGATCTAACAGCAGCTAAAGATTACCTCAAGCGCATTTTGGTTCAATTCCGATTGAACGAAAGACAAAAAACGCTTGTACTCTCGTTATATAATACGTTCATCAATAAGGAATCAGACATCTTTGAGAACGATCTGATGGACGAGGCACAAAATTATGCTTGGGAAGAGATCTCGCATAGAATTGGAGAAAAATCCATCCTTGCGGAAATAGCATTACGCTTGTTATGTTCATCTCCTTCGGAGGCAACATGTGAACGTAATATCAAAGCACAAAGGTTAATTTTGAACGTTAGGCGGTTAAGATCCAAGAAAAACTTGTTAAATAGCCGTCATATCTTAATGGCAACTAAATGAAATAAACATTTTGTTATTATTTATTTTTCAATATTAAATAACCATTTTCTTCACAAATATGTCAATGTGTTTTTACAACAATTTAACATTCAATAATTTATAATGAATCGTTCTCTTTCATTAAACATTAATTAAAACCTCCGGTCATGAATATTTTTTTTGTTATTATTATTTTGTAATTTAAAATCTAATAATATATAAGAGTAATATTTATTATTTTACATTTTAATTCGTTATGATAATCTTTATATTTACAATTTATAAAGCACCGATCCACAGATAATATAGTTCAGTGGTAAGAGTCATAGTATAAGCCTTAAGTTCCCCAGTTCGACTCCAGGGCCTTTTCGTTTTTTTCTTTTTAGATTTTTTTTCTGAAGTTTATTTTTAAGGTTCTCGCTGGCGGCCCCCTGTTCACCAAAAAAATTTTCGATTTTTGCTGGCGTCCCCCCTTCGCTCGATATTTTTTTTGTGAACGGGGGGGTCGCCAGCAAAAAAAAGATGTCAAAATTTATCCCAAAAATTTAAAAAAAATCGAAGAAAGTGCATCCCAGGGATTATAGAATTTAAGTTTTCACATCTCTACATATAATCTTTGAGTCAGGAAATACGGTATGACATAAATGGGATATATAGAAACTTCCACCGAACAAATCTACAAATGTTAGACCATTCGGTAGTTTCTTAAGTTCTCTCAATATAATATCTTTACATCTACTCTTATTTCCAAAGAACGGTAACGGAGGTTTTGTAAAATTCATTTATATATAATAATAAAAATGTTTTTACCCGAAAAGTGACAGAAAAGTGACAAAACATGAAAATATATATAATTTGTGAAAAGTGAAACAAAAAGTGACATTTTTAAAAGTGACATCATTAATATGATGTAAATAACAACGGTTTTGGTTTTGTCACCGGCTGGTCGGCTGGGGTTCGGTCCTCCTCTTGGGTCTTGGGCAAAATTTCTTAGGGCTAGAAGGGGCGCAGCCCCTGGAAGCCCCTCATACCTGACCTGGATCCTGTTATTTCTGAAATCGACAAAAAATTTGGAAATTTAATTTCCGAAATCGAAATTATATTAATGTTTTTAATATTCTTATATCAAAAGGATTAAAGTTCATTAAGAGAAAAACAATTCTTCTTCTTCAATCTATTGGCGCATTTATTTCTACACGCCAATAAGGAAGGAAAAATTATAAGACACCATGGTGTCTTCAAAACGCTAATTTTTGATATTTTTAACAACCCTAAATCTAATGTAAGGAGAGGAAAAAGTGTCACATGTCCACACTTGACTTATCAATAAGTGAAGACAATGGCCATCAAAGGAACGATGATTCATTGTTGAATGATAAATCAACAATAGCATGCATTGTTATTAATGTTATCCTTATCTTTACAATGCTGTTAATAATAATTTTGTTTTTCTCATTATTTTCAGCAAAAAGTCAAAACGAAAATAAAAGGCCATATCTATGCATAAATAGCAAAAGTGAAACTAATAAGGATTGCTTTGGTGGCTGGTTCTATAAAGGTTATGATAAATCCACGAGTCCGGCCAAAAACGCACAATGGGCTTCTGATCATAATTGGAATTATGTACTATTTAGTACTGATATAACTACAGATGAAAGAAAGCAGCAAACATTAGAAAATATTAGAGAATTTAAGAAGAAAAAGATTTCTTTTCATATAATGTGTCTTGAAGACACAATTTTTATCGAAAAACATGATTCTGCTCTTAAAAGTATAGACGCCCTCTTAGACTTCTTTGAAAAAAATAATGAATTTCCAGATGGTATTCATATTGATGTTGAACCGCATGCATTATATCATGTTGGAACTCCGGAATTTAATGAATGCTTCCAAAAATGGCTTGATTTACTTACAAAAATAAGAGCCCGATTAAATAAATATCCTGACTTGTTATTTAGTGCCGCTGTTGCATATTGGTATGGAGTAAAAACTGATGACGGAAATATTACTAATGGACATGGATATGATATGGTTAATGATAAACGACTTCATTCTATGATGCCTATGATATATGACGGAGCTGGAGGAACAGCTGATAAAGTCTATAATCGCGCAAAATACTATTTACAAGATAGAAGTAATATTGTTATTGGATTGGATCCAAAAGAATATGAATCTGTTGAACAAATGAGAAAGGTGGCACAAGAAGTTAGCGAAAGATTTGCAAAGAATGGTACTGAAACATCAAAACATTTATGGGGTTTCAGTATTTTCTCTAACACTCGCTATTAAAAAAATTAATTAAGGGTGCACACGAGAGGATCATGTAAACTTCAGAATTTAGAATCTTATTTTTAGGCATTATCTTGGCTACCTATTTAGGCTCGAAAAGCAAAAAATATCAAAAAATACAACTTGACTCCATTATGACCCTTTCATGGAGGTAGTTTTTATCCGCTAGTATTTTCCCTTTGAATCTCTTTACAATTCGAAATCAAATTCAAACCTCAGTAGAAGAAAGGAAGAATCGACTTACTACGGTTGTAATACGAATAAATACATATATTTAATTATTTTTATTTACATAATAATTGTTTGAAGCTCATATTCCAACAAATTTTTAAATAAAAACATTAAAATGTTGAAAATGTTCATATATTTTAATAGGGTTTTGGCACTTTATTGAGGAATTACTACATACATAGTCGAACTGAACTTGATATTTTGAAATTTAAATTATTTATCAAAATTAAAATTTAACTTGAAATTTATAATTATTTAGTCATATTTTGCATAATTCTAAGTAGATTTTGTAAAAAATCAAGAAAGAAAAATTTTAACGTGCTTTATTTTTTCTTTTTTATAATAATACATATTATTATATAATTAACATATTCATAATGTTTCACCCTTTCAAAAATATAATCCTCCTCCTCTCAAATAAACGTACATACGGGTGGCCTCTTTTTTCAAAAAATTAAAATTTGAAATTTTGGGCTCAAATATTAGAGATTTTTTCAACCTTCAACGATATATGTTGTCTATATCAGACCTCCTTTCTTTTTGATACTTAACATTGTTCCTAAATCTTAGCCGTTAAGGCTGTTCTGAAAATATTTTTTTTTCGAAAAAATTCGAAAAAAATTCTCAAAATTCAAAAATCTCTTAATTCATGAGGATTTTGGAAAAAAGTTTTTACATGAACATGTGTATATTATATGAAGTATATTGATAAGGTAAAAATCAAATTTTATTGCATATTCATCGAGAAAATAAACTAACGAATCCCTCAAAATTGAGAGGGTAATCCTCCTCCTCTCAAATAAACGTACATACGGGTGCACCCTTAAAAATTCCTTTCTGAATATATAATTAGTATCAATGTGAGATGATGTAGTTTAGAGCGATTTTCAAAGGCAGAAATTAAAAATTTGACTTAAAATCAAATGCACATAAATGAACCTTTAAGAAGGAATCATAAGTATTATCAATGATTCAAGAAGAATCAATTCGAAACTGCGAAATTTTTTGAAACTGTTTTAAAAAATGGAAACATAAATGACTATAATATTGTTTATTTTATTCTATCCTTTAATTTACAGGCTAATGAGAAATTAGAAATTATTTTTAAACAATTATGCGATATTACATTTATGATTTGGATCGCGCCCGCCTTTGCCAACTAAGTAATTAACAATTTTTTCTGTTGATCCCTTTCTTGCAATAGAAACAGGATAGTCGTTATAATAAAATGAAGTAGTAGGATATGAAGGGTTTTGTGACTTTTCTTGTAAACGTAAGAATTCATACAATATCGAGCGATTTTGTATCATTTTTTTTAACATATGAAGTAAAAAATGTATGATTCTTACGGTTTTTATTCTTACGTTTTTGAATAAATCAAGATTTAAAAAATTTTCAAAATTGTAAGACATTTACACTCAGCCCAAACATAATGAAATAAATCATTAAAAAATTAACATTAATTTTAAAATAATTTTTTTTATCTTTTATAAAAGAAGCTATATATAGATGATGTCAGATATTCCGCGATTAATTAAACATTGTTTAAATCCTGAATGGAATCAATGGAGTCATAATCAAAGACCTCATAAACGAGTAAAAGAAATTAGAAATAATTATTTTCATGAATAAAAAATAAACTTTAAAAATTCATGTCTTACATTTTTGAATAATTTATTTTTTTATTTTGTATGAAATGAGTGAATCAAAATTCGTGACTGTAAATCAATTAATGAATAAACTTTCACCAATTCTCACCCAGGTTAAACAAGTAGACGTTTATTTTGATGATTACATACGAAGTTTATTTTATAAAGGTAAGTTTAATATTAAACCTATTGCTTTTGCATTTGATGGTAAATTAATCGAAAATTCAAAAATTTGGGAATTAATTCCGGATATTGAATTTATAACAAATATTAAGGATAAATGGTTTAAACAACAAAACCACCTCACTAAAGTTCTTTGTAGATTAATGATTAAAACTGAGAAAAAAGAATTTAACGGGTTTAAATATCATCCGTGTAAAATTTTAGAACTTGGTAACGAAAAACTTCAGAAAAAATTAAACGATAGACTATCAAAAGATAAAGTTGAAAGAGTAAATAAACTCGCTAAAGGTAATGGTAATGATGAAGAAGAATTTGATGAGTTCAACATTGAACTTTAAGAAACTAATGATTATTTGAATTTATGAAATCAATTATTTGATTCATTCTTTCTTCAATCTCTTCTATTCTTTTTGTTAAATCATCTATTTTCATTAATGAGGTGATTCTTGATTAAGGAATAGATTTCAAACTAACCACTCCTGAGAGAGGGTCAAAGTTGCTATTTGTCACTTTTCCACAAGAATATAATGGGGAAAAAGTTATCATATAGTTGATCTCATTCACTGAGGTGAGAGATGCATGTAGTGTAATGTTATAAACAGTGGGATTGCTGCTCTAAGTCCTAGGTTCGAGACACATTGGCTTCATTTTTCTCTTTTTTATTGACGTAAACTATTCAATTTTTGTGTTCTCCATTCAAATTTCAGAATTTTTTTTTGCAGATTTCACGCTACATTCGAAGTTACCTTTTGTAACAACCACCACTGCCTACGAAAGACGAAAGTGTGTCACGATTTCACCCGGAAATCCGACGGTTGTTTAAGAGTAAGCACTTTTGACACCTACTCTCAACATTTAAGGTTAATTTAAGAGTATGCACTTTTGTCACCTACTCACCACTCCTTTTATTTTTGAAATTTTGAATCCATCAACTTTAAACATTTTATTCAATTTACATGTTGTCAATTCTTCAAATAATTTTTTATTATTAGCATAATAGTCATTAAATTCTTCAACAGATGAAAAATTTTTATTTCAGTAATTGGTTTAACAACGTTTATTTTTTGTTGAACATTTTCACCTTCATTTATTTCTTCCTCCTCTGTTTCATTTATTTTTAAAATCGGTTTCATTTATCATTAAATAAAAATTAGAATATAAGTGATGAAATATATTTTTTAATTAATATTAAATCAGAAATGGCGGCAGGATTCTTTAAAAAATTATGGGATGGAATTAAGAAAGCTGCGGGTTGGGTTTATAAAAAGGTTATTAAACCTGTTGCAAACTTTTTGGCACCAGTAGCGAAAACGGCAGGAACTATCATAGGTGGAGTATTAGGTACTAAAGCAGGTAATCCGGCGATGGGAGCACAAGCAGGTAACGCAATTGGTGGAATAGCTGAAGGAATACTTAATAAAATAGGAGGTAGATAGTGGAAAAATAAATTATTTTAAATTATTTTTATCTTAGTATCGGTTGTAGTCTTTGATAAACTTTTTCTCCTTTATTTAAAACTTCTCTTATTGGGGCAGCTTTTGGTGTTATTGATTCAGCAACGTCACTAATTGCTTCTTTATTCTTAAATATCCAATTTGCTCCCTTCTTCAATGTTTCCCAAACTTTACTCGCCCCTCTTTTTACTTTATCCCACAGTTTCTTAAATATACCTGCAGCCATAGTTGATTATTTCATTAAAATTAAAAATTCATTTTCATCTTTTAATTTTGATTTTTTATTTATTAATAAATGACGACTAACTATTTGGTGCCAAACACTAAACCAATTAATGGAAATGTGTTTCATTCATTCGAAAAGATAAATGAAATATTCGCAAAGAATGACGGTAGAAGATATTATAGAGAACTTGAAAGTTCATGCTATGACTCTGATGCTCCATATTTTGATGATAAACAAACTCATTTAAGAATTACAAACCCGGCTCATGATGTGAACCAATTAGGTGACACATATATTAAACGCAAAGTTAAAGCAACCCTAGTTTCAAATAAAGCTTTCACATGTGATGCCGCTTTTAAATGCATGCGTTTATTCGTTGGTTACAAATCATCAAATCAAAGCTTTAAACAATTAGAAGTAGAAACCGAAAGAGGTGATGCCGGTTATCTTCAGATGGATTGCGCCCGTGAATCTTTCGCATTTGCAACATATAAACCAAAATCAGAAAGGAAAGTTAAAAAGTTTGTTCATTCGTTATATAATAATGTTCAAAAATATGATAACTCAGTATGTGGTAAATATATTGACCCTTCAGAAGTTTTCAAGAAAGCAAATGAAGAAGTTGATGTCACTTTTGATATGATTATTCCGGTAAATGATTTGTTAGCATTTCAGGCGTTCGATGATTATCCTAAATCATTTGGTGATATCATTCTTAAATATTATGTTTTCAGGGATACTTTAGTATTTTGTCAGGTTGACCCGTTAAGAGTTGCTGATTTACAAAATTACGTTTATGAAAAGATAACTGATGAAAATTATGAAAAGATTATGAATTATGTTTATAAATATGATCGCAAATTCCAACAAATCGGACTTCCTACCAAATTAATTACAAGCTTAGCCGCTACATCTGCTGACGCAACAGTTGATGACGTTATTATTTCATGCACAAAGATGGAAGTTTTAGAGGATAAATGCATTACACCAGGATACGGTTTAATTGAAGAATCAGTTAAAGCAATACCACGTTTATTTAGTAAGGAAGATCCATTCATGATTCCAGCTCAACATATTGACGTTCGTTCACTAAATGGAGGTTGCATCACTCCTGAAGGTATTAGCTCAGATTTCTCATACGCTCTTCATAATGTTACAGATGTTGTGTTAACATTTCCGAAGAATGCAATGCAAAGAACGGTTTTAGAAAATCCAATGCTTCGAGGTCTTCAGGTCACTATAGATTCCAGAAACTTC